CGGACATCCAGAGCAGATTTTAGTTGTTTCACGTTGACAGAATTGGAAAGCAGTTTTCTGATCCTTTTGATGGTGATTTTTCTGTCTGCTGAACTGACTAGTGCAGTTTTACGCTACTTATACCTTTCATTTTTGATCTTTGTGGCGTGAATGATGTTTGCTGTTTTCATTTGTTCTTAACTCTTCAACCACTTCTGTGTTTTTCTAGGCTTGTGCCCAAAATACAGCCCTTCATATCATTTTTACAGCAGTCATCGATTTTCTCTTTAATGATCTTCGTTCCAATCGTTTTCATTCCTATCATTATCATTTTACGACATATTCATTTTTCTTGAAGTTTTACCAGAAGAGTTACAATAGTTGCCTGCGGTATAACATTTTATATTATCCCTCAATTTCCTTTATCTTTGCCTCTTGATGAACAAACTTTCAGATTGCAACAGATCAGATTAGAGATTCGATGAATCTCAGTCTGTGAAGTTTCAGATGCCGGGACTTCGCCATATCTGATCACTCTGATCCTGCTAGTTACTGTCATTCTTAGACGTAAGCGAATCTCAGTGCACCAGTCGTCGTTTTCATTTAGAAGCCAGGATATGAAAGAATTTTTATTTGTCTTTCAGCTAAACGCCATTCATTCGCCTCATGATTCCGAGGCGAATGATTTTCCTGGTCAGTGTGTCACTAGTTTTCGTCAGGATGAACTTTTGCTGCTTGTTCGTGATGAACACTTTCGATGCAGTACTAATTATGCAAGAGGAATAATAAATGCTGAATGCGCATATAGCAGGTTTTTGATTGATCTTCCTCTAATTTGAAAACCTCCATTGTAGCCTTCGAGCGCAGACCGCATGATTGCATTATTGAAAGCTGTACAAAAAGGGTTTATTATTACCGACGCATTATAATGATCTATTTAATGGTAGATAATCTAATAGTAGAACGATACAGATGTTTTGGGCGTCTCTCGGTTATTTTTCAAGGTAGATCTGCTGCAAACGTTCAGTGTTTTTCAATTAATCCGTGACAGTTAGTTTATTTCATATCGTTCGATCCTCCTATATTGAGTTGTACATTAATAAACAGTTTTTATGCTGTTTTTCTCTCTGCGAACGTGGGAACCAGTTATTCAGTTTACTGCTTCATTTGGTACATTGAATAGGGTTGACGACAAGAGACAAGAGGCTTTATGTTAACAGAGGACCTGTCACTGAGATCTAGAATGCCTTGCCTTTCACGTTGCTTTGCTCGCGGCAGAAAAATGGTGGTTAGAAACTCCTGCGTTAATTGCAGCCTAAGACTAAGCGTTCAGTATTTTAGCTCGTTCCCTTTGTTACACACTGGTTGTTCAGATTATAGAGAACGTTGGGTTCAGAACCAAAAACGGCCTAAGTTTCACTCAGGTCAGGTCAGTTGCCTTTCTTTCTTCTGAGGTTGATAAACGAGTGTCAAACAGGAGAGTACACACTACGCGTGCCACATAGCCGTTGTCAATTTTTCCGTTCAAACAGGGCACTCCTGAGTGGTGGCATGGAAATGGAGATCAGCACTCCATCATTTACTTCGTGAAAAAAGGGGTGCCAGAAACGGTGGTATCATGAAAGTGTAAGAGAGATCAACATTCTCACGATTGCACACTTTCTTTTCCCTTTTCTCTTTGTTCAGGTGTTTTACTTTCGGTCATATAAGCTGGGAAGTTCTTTATGCGGCAGATGACAATGTGTTTTCGAATTTTAAGAACGGGAAAACATGCATAAAATCTATAGTCGCGATCTTCTATGAAAGAATCACATTTCTTGCCAAACTCGAGAAACTCTGAATTGTGAAGATGCACTGAGTTTTGTCTGGAACGTAAGTTTCTCATATAAATATAAGCGGAATGTATGCGTTGTGTTCCTGTTGTTACATTCCAGAATTTGTTTATGGCTCTTTACTCAGTAGTCGATCGTTTCAAGGTCATTAAAAAGTTTTCAGTGCCCAGGTAATCATGCTCTATCTTCACAGGCGATCTCTTGCCTTTAACGTTGATCGCATACATCTAGGATAACATGTGAGTCTACGAAGGTGATGTAACGGTTTAGCAACTTGTACAAGAGTCATTTATTGTCGTCCTTTTTTAGACACAAACTTTATCTGCCTGGACAGCTCTGTTTGCTTGTTTTCTACATATCTTTTACTTGTAGTTTTACGGAGCATGGACTTTTAAGAACTTAGTTACTGTATTGTTGAACAGTGACCTGGAACTTTCTCTTTTTCTCATTATACCAGTGGACGGCTTCAGTCTACTCTTCTCTAGCCGTTATGTTAAAATAACCGTTGTTAGCCGTACAAAGCAGGTACTGCGTGCTGTGAATGACGTCACACGCCATTGTTTTAAAATTCGGTTGAGCAAATACCGAATGATAAATTAGAATCGAAGCAGTTTTCATTTACCTGAAATTTGCTTTTTAAGGCGTTAGCATGCCTACACTTCTCACTAGGTTAATTAAATTATTTAAATACAGTTGATGTTTGTATTTCAGACGAACGATGATGGTAAGCTCTGAGGTAATTGCTCCAGAAGATTCAGAACAGCATTTGCAAGTGAAGTTTCTTTCGCGCGGCAGGTTCGAATTTATTTTTAGTCCGTTGTATATTCTAAACTAATTCTTTAGCTTGGTTGTCCCTCAGACCGTATTTTCTTGTCCCGGCAGCGCAGATGCAGATCGACTGAATGACCTCGTTAACAAAATATTGAAAGGTGATTGACTTTTGGTGAACTAGGTGCCTATTAGACGCAGCATACATTACATTTTGCAAGGGTTCATACCTTTCAAATCAGCCGGTTTTTGGTCAAAAAGTTTTGGCGTGGCAGCGTTAAACTAAAATACTGTTAACACTATACTGTAAAAATGAATTATTTTTTAATAAACTGTTTGCACTGTATATCGTAGATACATTGCGAAACGATTAAAGCATGTTCCTTGATGATGGCTAATGTTTTACTGTTTGAAATGACGGCTTAAAGTAAAAAAATCTTATTGACGCATCTTTTTTGGGAAAAGGGTTACGTCTTGTATTGATTATTATACTTGATAGCCAGCTGTCAGGTGGATCAAGGCGAGATGCAACGAGAAGGGACGTTCGCGTTGGACAGCAAGATCGTACCCATAATGAACACATCAGAAAACCATCCCTCTTAATTGAAGTCAGCGATATGCTACTTGTTCCGCAGCCGGCTGCAAGCAATGATGGGTAAATTCGAAGGAATTGTCCCATGTCTTCATTCGAATCCGGCTTCTCCAGAGTTTCAAGATGACTCTTTTGCTATTCTGCCACGATATTCGTAGTGCCTTTAACTGCCGTATCAGATAACCTTGTTTAAAAGACTTATTTCAAATACGGGTGTTGAATCAGCACGGATTTCATGAAATATTTTTTCTTCCGATTTCATGGATATCTTAACGAAGAGCTAAGCTTAATACCTTTATTTAGGAAGTCTGTTCACTTTAGAGGCGACGCCACATATCCTTAGATGCAGTGCCTCTGCCTGTGGATGTGGATGCTAGTGTGGCAGTACGAATGATGATAATGCGCAGTTTTGATGATTAAAAGTTGCATAAATATTGACTTTATTCTCAGTGTCAAAGTTTAGATTCTGATGAATGTTTTGTGGAAGAAAAATTTGACTTTTTGGTTAGCGGTATTTTGTTACGACAGTCGTTGAACGAACTCGTCGAAGAGCATGATCTTTCGAGGGTACGATTTTTTTGAGTGCATTTTTCCATCTTGACGTATTCATAAATTACAGGAAAATACTATCGAGATCGAATGCGTTCGTCATGAACCACCGCCAGTGCCAAAGTACAGTTTGCCGCACGACGACTGGGTCGGCGGTGTGTGGCATAGCGGAAATCAGTGTGCTTATATTTTTCTGTCTGTGTTTATGTCACTACATAGGTTTTCTTTTAGCATCGTTTCTGGTTGCTATGACAGTTCAGTAAATGTCTGGTCAAAAGTTGGCAAGCATCTGGCGAAGTCATTCGAACACGTTTCCGCCGTCAAGTGTGTGGCAAAGTTGCACAGTAACGGTAAAGAACAAAAATACTCTGTTCTGTTACTATGTAATCCGCTGGTCACTTTGTAGATGGTGAGCTTCGTTGGGTGACAGGATCAAACGACCAGACGGTACGAGTATGGAAATATGACGTCATTAACAGCTGCATCGACTGTCTGTTGATTGGTCGGGGCCATGAACGCAGTGTTGAAAGTGTGGGCTGCAGTTATGATGGTACACGAATCGCAAGTGGAAGCTTCGATGCTCTTCTAAAAATCTGGAACACCGGTATACAATGGTGTCATATTTAAACCATGTGGTGTTATGACCAATAATCTAGATCCAAGTGACGTAACCACTTACCAGGAAATCAAAGATCCCGTCAAGAAACAAAGAAAGACTGATAAAGAAGCGCCTGCTACCAAAGTGAGTTGTAGTTCTCTAATTGGGCAATAGAAAAGTTATTAACGGCAGTTACTAAAGCATTGCTGGGCGCTGCTCCACATATTTCTAAATGCGCGACATTTGTCATTTTTTCAGACTCCGATGGTGACCCTATCAAGTCATCGCGAGGCTATAACTGGCATTTGTTGGTCTGGACGAAACGAAGTAATAACCGCAAGTTGGGATCACAGGATTTTTATTTGGGATCTTGAAATGGCTGGTGTTAAAGATAGCCTTGCTGGAACAAAAGCCTTTACTTCCATCGATTATTCCGATTTAAGTAATTTACTGATCTCAAGTTCAGCCGACAAGTACGTACGTTTATGGGATCCTCGAAGCAAAGGTTTGTTTAACATCAGTTCTTGTTTAATTTATTTGTTTTAATTTATTTAGTCATTCTCAATCTCTTAATACATAAATTGTTATGTCGTTGTAATTGTAATTGAGTTAAACTTCGGGAAATGACCTTTTTCTTTAATTGCCCAAAAACAGGCAGTTCCTTTGATTTTTATTTTGGTTTTTGCTTTTTTCTACGTCATGAATACTTGTTCGCTTCCTCAGATTTGTGCGGAATTACCGTAAAATCATTTTTTCAAACGACCATGGAGCTTTTAAGCAGCCTACGGTTCTACTACCGATTATAGCATCTTTAGTGAATGGGTTTGAAATCTGAAATATTCTATTCTACTGGGTGAAAGAATAACTGATCCAGTGCGACCAGAAATAGCTTATTTGCGTAGTATATGAGATATATGTTGGTGATGTTCTGAGTGAACAGCTTAAAAACTGTGAGAGCAGGCAGATTGGACGATAATTCTTCAGATCTTCATTCTCGTCATTCTTGAACAGCATGACTGTTTTTCGCTCCTTTCAGGTTTGATGTTATCTTTCCTTTTTCGAGGCTGCAAATGAACCTGTCCTCGCGAGCCTTTCACAGCGTCTGACTACCTTCTCTGATCATTTCAATTGTCATACCGTGTTCTTCCTTTCTTCATTTGCTGCGAGCATGCCGTACTTCCCTTATGAGGACCGGGAATGCACTTCCTTTTGGCTGTTGCAGTGATGTGGAGTAGAGGGGGGGGTGCGCATCGTTGACGTGAGGTGCTGGGGTTCAAACCTTCTTGCAGATAGACTGCGTCTCAACTATCTTAGCCGTCATTGAGTTTTCTGTTTTTCTCATCGCCGTAATTGTGGACTGATAAAGTGCTAACTCTCTCCTGCATTGTCTGGCACTTTTGTGGTCTTCAGCTGTTTGTCTAATTTTCGCACTCAGAAAATCTCAAAGTTTTCCTTCACTTACCGTTTAATGAGTTTGCAGAACAGAGATTACTCCACTTACTCCACCATCTCTCTTCATACTCCTTTGCTTCTCTAGCAAATTGTTTTTTCTTCTGATGTCCTTCGTTTCGCTCTCTCTAATATTGCCACCTCGGCTGAATTTACCCAACGCCTAAGTTTCTGGGCGAACTTTTCACTAAGTTTCTAAGTCTCGTTGTGACCGTCGTGTCTGCTTTTCAGGCTCTAGTCTTTGCCAGAAACGCGCTCGTTGAGGACTGTGTCGTCGAATACCTTGGTCGTTGTCTGTGATTTGCGTCTGTAGTGCCTTTCTCTCGATCTTCTTGAAAGTTTGTCTATTCCGCGCCAGTTTGTGATCACTGCTGGTGTCAAATCATTGCATTACTGCTATATCTTGGATAATGCGTCGGTTATCCAACAGGACAAAGTCAATCTCGTTCTTCGTCACCACGTTGGGCTCAATTCATGTCCATCTCCTGCTGGTCTTTTTCTTGAACGAAATGTTTCCAATGTAGGGGTATTTCGTTATTGGCATGGCCCCACCCGATCTCCCCTGTCATTTTGCTCACCAACGCCGTTCCTACCGACTGACGTTTAACCGGCTCTTTTTCGTCCTACGTTGAGATCTAAGTGTCCCATGACAAAGGTATACGTTGCGCAACGGATTACTTTAAATTGAGTCCTCAAGTGCGTGAGGGAATGCCACTTTCCTCTATGCATTGCCTTCGACGACTGAAAGTGTTCGATACTGTCTAGTACTAGGCAGTGCTGATTGCACTGGCAGAACAGGACATCGACATCCTTTACTTCAACCTTTAAAAGGAAATGAACCCGGACTGCTTCACGAACATCACGTTATTCGATACAAACCTCCAGATTCCCGTAGAGAAGGACACTAGGCAAGTGAACGCCATCGCCCTCAAACTATTTACTGCCTGGTGAAAAATGGTGTTCCGAAGAATGAAGTGAAAGAGTGGGATTAACATCACCGGTGAACAGCTCAGCCGCCTGTGGTTCTCTGATGTCGTGGTGTTATTTGCGGAAAACGCCAGTCAGTAATGCTGCATTGTCTCAGGAAGGTGTCAAGAAAGACACTGGAGAAGTCGGACTGTGAAACGATCGGTCAGAGACGAAGATATTAGATCAAGTGCCTTGCTGAAGGCCCAGGTAAGATTAAACAGTTAAAAGATCCTAGAAGTCGATAAATGCATTTGCCTGCGCCATAAGCTTAATATGCAACACGACCAGGCTAGGGAGATTCATCGGAGAAAGAGTGTTGATTTGCGCTTGTTCCATTGAGGATGACCTCCTCAGAAACTTCAGGAAAGAAACCCTTGCCAACCTGTTCAAGTGGATCGTCCTGCGGGCGATGTTGTTTGGCTGTAAGATGCGGTCATTCTGTAAGGTCGAAGAGCGCCAGCTATCTATCTTTGAAAGCTGCAGAAAGAAGAATGTTGGGAATTTTACATAACTGCCACATCTCCAATATGGACAGTGGACGGCAGCAAAGGTCACTGTCGTTAAAAGCAAGAGCAGTGGTGGACCGGACAGGTATCTCGGCTCACCGACGGGAGATTGTCAGCGATGTTGCTTGATTGGACCGCTTGTTCGCCTACAGTGACAATGGGAAGATGATTTCAGGAATCGAGAAGGTCGCGATTAGAGTGAGAAAGCTCGAAATCTTGAGGAATGATAAGCGATGGCGGCCAAGGCGATTCCTCGCCGATTATTGGCCTGCATAAAGGCCCATTTGGTCTTTATCATTGATAGACGATTTTGAGAGTAAACTTCTATAAGCGTGGTTGCGGTGCGACTCTATAGTGGCAAACTGTAGCAGGGAATCGTTTTGTTGTTTAATGACAGTAGTGAAAGCGAATGTTTAGCCAGTTTTTGAATCGTAAAATAATTGAGAAGCGATACTGCCCTGCCAAACGTGGAAGCAATGCAGATATGGCAGGATTTGTGCGGAAATCAGCAATGATTGCTGAGACTGTTTTTGCACTTACGGTTGCATTATGTCCTCAGATGATTGTTTCAGCTCGATCTGAAAAGTGTGGATTTTGCTTAATAAAATTTATATGCCGAGTAAACCTCCTGACAGTGGGCAATGAACAAACTTTCCATCGGCATTAAAGCGATATATATCTCTAATATTTGCATGATCAACTTTGAAAATCATTTACGGCCCGACAGTAATTAATTATTACTGAACATGAAGTGGTTTAACTCTGAGCCAAACAAAACATTACACAACACTTTAAGTACTCTGAAACCGTGTTCCTCTATCAGGATAAGAATAAATTTGTTACTTCAGTGGACGATCAGTTGCTTTTAGGTACTCATTTGTTATTTCTTATCAGAATCAATTAGAATCTTGTCCAGCCCTCATTGTCACTAACCGAGAGCTAATTATTGACTGAACATTACTGTTTCTTTGATTTAGAAGGAAACCTGGTGAAGTGCACGTTTTCGTCTCACAAATCATGGGTGACTCAGGTGCGCTGGAACCAAACGAATTCCAACTTGTTTTTGTCCGCTTCTTACGACAACCTTCTCAAAATGTGGGACATTCGAAGGTTTGTTATTTTATGTAGCTTCGAGAACTTATCAATATTTTTAGCCCCAAACTTTGTCTTTATGACCTCAGTGGGCACAAAGATCGACTACTGTGTTGTGACTGGTCGTGCAAGGATTACGTTTTAAGCGGCGGTGTTGACTGTACTGTCAAAGTTTATAGTACTGAGGGTTCCAAAATAAATCCATGAATCGTGCGTTTCTTGTTTCCTTCTTTTTCTGAATGCATGGTATTTTATGAATCGCAGTTTTTGGCTAACTAACCGTCAATCTCTGACGCGTTTTATTCTGTTTGTTATGCAGTAGGGGGTAACAGTATCACCGCAAAATGTATCTAACGTTCGCGAACTTACCAAAATGCCTAAACATAAGTACAAGACCTCACGTGTAAAGTGAAATTCACTGACTTACTTGCGGTAAGTTAGTCTGGGCTTTTCTTGTGGCTTTTTGCCAGCTGGTCGAAGAAGAAATGGTTGCTCGGTCATCTGCTCTTGTGACATTCATGACATTACTTGGCAGTAATTTGAATGAATGGAAGTTTATTGCTTGTAAATGATCACGCAGCTATCTGTAGACAAAAATGTAAATGTAAAGGAATATCGAATCATTAAAACTTCTGTGTCACAAAAATATCCAACGATAAATGCAACAGTGATCGAATTGTACAACATCAGAAAAGGTTATATGAAGGCAAACTGGAGAGGAATTGTACTAAGCAAGTTATTAGGAAAGGTCATACTAAGCGAGTTCAAGCAATGTCGACTAATATCACCTAAAACAGCTGATATTAGCATGCTTGAATAATATGAAACCAAAATCGATCGATTGGCAAAACAGTAAAAGTGCATCCTATCATATTTTACATTATAAATTTGTATAGGGTGCACATATTATTAAAACAAGACGAAAAATTAGGCCAATCGTTTTTGCTCTCTTTAGAAAGCTTTATGTACATTGAACAGAGGATGCGATGCCTATTCACATTGTCCTGAAAAGTTTCCGTAGTATTTCTGACATCTTGCGTTTCTGTTTGTACAAATCATGAATTCAAATAATTCCCTTTGGCGGAATTTTCACATCTGAAACTTGCCGTGCCCTGTAAAGGTCATAAATAAGAGTCCTAATGTTTGGCGCAACAACTGGATCACATAACAACAGTAATTCATGCGAAACAAAGCTTTCAAAATCAGGATCAACCAGATAGCACACAAGCAGGTGTCTCTATGACATTAACATGCATGTTTGTTTCACAAACAAATGGTAATGGTCTATGAATCTGGGCTTCCGCTGAGATTGAAAACTAGTTGCTGGTTGCCACAAAGTATCACCCACTTAGATCGAAGTTTCTCTGAATTTTCTCCTTATAAAAGCCTTTCAAATATGGATAATTAGTGGTTAAGGATATGCATGATTCAACAACCTAGCCAGTGGTCGTTTCGACGAATATCATATCGAAGGAACATTTTCGCAATGAACTTCTTTGCAACTCCTATGTATACTGTATCAACTAGGCACAGTGCGCCTGCCAGTAGTCAAGGATGTCTGCTCCAGCTCATTACAACAGCCATTTAAGTATAAGATTGATAAACAGTGAAAAGGCGAGCGAAATTACTTTCAACCAAAGTAATATTTCTCACATCAGAGACCAGGAATACGCATTGAATGCCTATGTTGAGCATAACTCAGAAATACTCTAAACTTTGCGTTTGTGTTTGAGGTAATCAATTTTTTATTTCATATGAAAAGCATCATCGCACATGGCTGGTGTTCTGTAACGAATTAGAATGTCGTGTACGTGAATGCAAAGTCTGAAATGCTTTTGGCATACGCATCATCACACCATGTTTACTGCAGGGTCGCCACAATTCACAGAGGATGTCAACATTTGTTGTCGTAGAGAATGTCAACATCTGTTTTCGCAGAGAATGTCAACATCGCAGAGGGTGTCAGCGTCTGAGTCAAACTTTTGGCCCTCAATTGAACATGACGAATTTCAGAGTGATTAAGGTTGAGGTCCCTAATCCGAAATGCTTGGGACCAAGATTGTTTCGGATTGAAGATTTTTCCGGAGTTTGAAACACATGATATGGTGGAGGCGAAGAGAATTGAGAGAAAAGATTCAGACTTTCATTGAAATTAGCTGGTAGACACAGACACCTCGCACTCTCAGTGTTTAACAGTTCACTGGTTTCTCATGACACTGCCATATTAATAAGTAGAACTGTCTTGAGAACTTTTTCCAATTAGATCGAAGCAACGAGAATCGGTGAAGAAACTCATGAAGAATCATAAAATTCCGAAATATAAACTATTAAACCAATTTAACACGTTTTCGCTCCCAAATTCTGCCCTTGAACAAAAAAAATAACGAATCTGTACCCTATGAATAAAAATATTTATGGCCCAAAGCAGTGAGTTCTCATCCAAAAGGGCTGTCTGCTGCGAGAGTGGAGATATGGATGTTGCAGAAAGCGGCGTTTCAGCTGCTTACAAATCAGAAGAAAAAGAAACTCAGTCATTCCACAAATTGAAACGACCCGTGTTTCGTTCTTGCAGTACATCATCATCAGGCACAAATGGGCTTTTCGATACAGGTTGGAAAGAAGGAAGGTTGAGAAGAGGGGATGGAAGTTAGGAGTTAGTGGATTGTTTCCATGATAAAGCGCAAGCATAAAAATACGTGTTCTTCCTTTCGATACGGAAGAGAAAGTGATTAGTGACCAACTGTGGACTTGAAGGACCTCCGATAGCTGTGACCATCCAGCCCCCATTATGGACGGAGAAAGGATCTTCTCTGATTGGCCGCTATCAGAAAATACGATTGCCGAAAGAAGCCTGAAGAGAAGAGGTATGGAAATGGTGTTACGGCCGTTGTTCATATCATTCAATGATATTTCGAAAAACTCACGAAAGAGTTGCGATTTAATATAATGTTACAGAGTTTGGAATATTTCGGAATTTTGAATTGTGGGTATTCAACCTGTACTAGTTTCCAGAAGTGACGCCTCAAGATGAATTACCGTCGATGGTACTGAGTTGGTTTACTTTCCTCCTTCCGGTATCTAGATTCCGTTTTGGCGATAATGGGATTGTAAAACTACAAATCAACCAGAATGTGGAAGAATCTCAACGTATGCATATAATCGGAAAGGAAATAATTTCGTCTTTGCGATACTGTTTTCGCTGATAGCGCAATGACTAGCTAATTTCTAAACTTCAGGGTGTAACTCTGATTTCTGTTTCGATATCCTCAACCAGAAGTGTCTTGTTTCTGAAGAAATGACAGTTGTTTGCATGGCTACATCATCACCTTCAGCTGTTTGTATAGGCAGAACGTCTGCAATTTGATACCAGCTTAATTCACAGCTTTCATCCCGTTTGCTATAAGCCACAAGTTACTGCCTCTCAAAAAGCACTTCTATCAGAAAGCATATTTGCCACTACCTTGTCCGACCGTGGTGCAGACTTGTCTCCCTGTCAATTTCAGCCGTGTTTCGTCTCCAACTTGAAAAGTTTACGGTTTTGAGTAAATCGTCTATGTTCAAACAGTTTGTAAAAAGGCCAAAGTCTTTTATTGTTCTCAACATCTATCGAGATCATATGTGTCCGGAAGAGAATATGGTCATTCCTTACCTGTTTCTATCAGAGAACCCTTTTTACGAGTCTAAGCCAACGCTGTTGCACGGAGTTCAAAGTCGTGCTTGTTTCTTTGTTACAACAGCTGTTTCCATACCATGCAACAACAATGACCTAACGGAGGCAAGGTACAGAAAGGACAACTTTCTCAGCGCAAATATTCGACAGGCTTGCAAAAACACTTGAATTTGAGGCAGTCCTCCAATGTTCTTTTGTTCTTGCGGATAGCACCATCTCTAGAGATCATGGAACAGAGATTAATGAACTGATTAATTAACCTCTTAACTCGTTCCACTGCCCTGTTCCATTTGAAGATCGGCTGCGCCGAATGGGTTACTGACAACTTACAATTTCCGGACGGCATGACAGAGGTCGATTATTGCATGCTGAAGCCGTCACGTGACAGAGTTTGCTCACTGTATTACTCACCAAAATAATGATATCAGCGAGGTCTAGGCCAGCAAGATGTCTAGCAGGACTTCTTGAACTATGCCTTCCCTCTAGAATAATATTTTCGTCTTTTCTAGGGTCAGCACTCTTCCAAAGAAGAAGGCCGAGCGCAGAGTTGACTAGCAAGGGCGATAGTACATCTCTCTGGCGAACTCCGTCGTTAATGGTGGAATTGATGTGATAGCTTCCCTTCAACCTTGGCAATATACACGGTTTCTGCATACATCTCTTTCAGGTGTCCCATAGCATTAAAATAGTTTCCACATCGTCCGACGATGTGCCGAATATAATGTAGCCTTGAAGTCGAGGAAACTCACAAACCAAGGCAATTGGAATAGTCGATATTGCTCAGTGATGCAACTAGAGTGGAGATTTAGTCAGAGCAGGATTGCTACCTTTAGAAATCTGCTTGATTTTGGCGAAGTCTTTTGTCAACTGCCCACCTAAGTTTCTCTTGAATTATTCAGGAGAAGAGTTTCCATTTAGTTAACGATAGAATGACATCAGGATAATTGGAGTACTCGGTCGCCTGACCCCCCATTAAATATGAGGGTATTTACTCCAAACTTTGTTTTCCAGGAAACGTTCGGAGGTCCACATTTCATGAAATAAGGCTTGGAGCGTTTTTACAATTCCAGTTCCTTTATCTTCATTTTTTCAGACCACTTCTCCTTTCCAATTGCGGCGGCAGACGCGTCAGAAACTGCTTCCAACGTCTGCTATCCTGTTCAGAGTCAGAGCTTTGGCAGAACACACCTGGAGTCTGGAACAGACTCCTTCCGTATATTTGCACCAGGTTAATCTTGGCCGTCCCCTGGGCCTTCTGCCGGTCGGTTGGGCAAGAAACAGCTGCTTCGCTTTATTTTCTGGAAGTATTAGCATTACATGCCCAAACCATCGTTGCTGTAACGTCTCAATCTGAAGAAGCAGCAGCTGTACACCAAGGCTCTTGCGGATGACTGTACGGCATTCCGGTTCCTCCAGACTTACTTATCTCTAGAGGAATTCGATCAACCCTGCTGGCCTTCTTCACCTGAGATGCTAATGTTATTGCTAATCGACCATCGCATTACGCATAGTCAGGTTTCATTTCCGTATAATGGAA